ATGGACGGAGAAGTGGTGCCTGGGTGCACGCCCGGGATCCGAACCCGGGCCACCAGCATCGGAGCGCGAGCACTTAACCACCAAGCCACGGGGCCAGCCCGTACCTCTATATTTCTAAATAATATTATTACTTCTTGAGTTATTAATTTTAGACATTTTCGATTAACTTCCTATTAGAGTAAATGAGAATTTAGCTTTTTTACACCACTTTCCTGACCATTTCCTTTATCCCCATATTTATAACATAATTTTATCACATTTTCAGTTAAATTAATAGTGTTTGCATTGTTAAGTATAAGTATGTGAATATTATTTACTGTTTAGTCAAGTATTTTTCCTTAACTTAGGAACCTAGGAATCAAGATTTTTTTTTGTTTTTCTTAGAGTTAAATTATTGCCTAGCTTTTTAACTTGCATTTTTATTTTATTTACTTTAATTTTTTTTCCAGTTCTCTCAGATGTTAGAACATGATCAGTAGTGTTTTCTAGATAGTTAAATAGATTATAGAATTATCCGTTCTATCTCAAATGATCCAACACAGGATCATGCTTTGATTTAGTTGTCATGTCTCTGTACTCTCATTTAATCTGTAAGAGTTTCTTAACTTTTCAAAAAGTCTTTTATGATTCTAACATTTTTGGAGAGTATAGGCCAGTTATTTTGTAAAGTGTCCCCCAATTTGGATTGTATAGTCTGTCTTCAGGATCCCATCCAGGTTATGTATTTTGGCAGAAATGCCACGGAAATGATACTGTGTCCCTCTCAGTGCATCACATCAGTAGGCATAGATGTCAATTTATCTCATTGTTGGTGATGTTAAATTTGAACCTGCCAAGTTTCTCCACTGTAAAGTTAATTTTTTTCTTTGTAATTAATAAATAATTTCTGAGAATATTTTGAGATTATATAAATGTCCTGTTCCTCATCAAACTTCTACCCACTAGTTTTAGAATTATTATTGATTCTTTTAAAAATTGGCTATTACTATGGTGGTTACAAATGGTGATTTTTAACTCCATCATTACATTTACAAGTTGAATTTCCATCTCCTTTATTTATTTTTTTATTTTTGGTGAGGAAGATGAGCCCTGAGCTAACATCTGTTGCCAATCCTCCTTTTGCTGAGGAAGATTGGCCCTGGGCTAACATCCATGTCCATCTTCCTCTACTTTGTGTGTGGGATGCCGCCACAGCATGGCTTGATAAGCGATGTGTAGGTCCGTGCCCAGGATCCGAACCTATGAACCCCAGGCTGCCGTAGTGGAGTGCACAAACTTAACCACTATGCCACTGGCCTGGCCCCTCCATCTCCTTTATTTTTTATTTCTTATGAGAATGGACTCATGGATTCTTATTTTATTCAATTAGTTATAAATCATTTCTGTCATCGGATGTTTTATATTTTTAGAATTCCTGTAGCCATACCATTATAAAAAACAAATCTACCAGTTGAAGTTCTATATTTACTTGTGGTTCTTTTTGTCTTTAAACTGAAAATATATACAAACTACTTCTTCCAAACATTAGTTTTTTTTTTTCTCATTCAGTGTGTTTTTATTATTCATTTGAAATATAATTTGGTTCATTTTTTTCCTGTTAGTATTTAATTTGGCTTTTTCCCTCTGCATGCTTGTTGATTTAATTTTAAAACATTAAAATTAAACATTAAAACATTAAATTAAACATTAAAAACATAAAACTTTAACATAATTCTAGAGTCAAACCTGGATTATTTTGAAGCAAATCTCAGACATCATATAGGAACTATAATTTCAAAAATGTTACCATTTGCAATAGCCATAACAAAAATACAAAGTACCTAGGAATAAATCTAACAAAAGATGTATAATACCTTCACATAGTATTTATAATTTAAATGATTTACATTTATTTAAATTTAAATGTGAAAATTTATAATTTTCACGTAGAAAATTATAAAATTTTATTGCAAGACATTAAAAAGGTCTAAACAAGTGTAAAAACATACACTATTCATGAATAGGGAGTCTCAATATCGGAAAAAGATACATCCATATTCCCCCAAATAATTTATAAATTCAGTGTAATTCCAATCCAATCAAAATCCCAACAGCATTTTATTCAAATTGAGAAGCTGGTGTCCAAATTTAATTGGAAGAGCAAAAGGGCATGCAGAGCCAAAAGAATTCTGAGGAACAAGGTGAGGGAAACGTGCCTCCCTAAGTATTGAGACTTGCTATAGGGGCTGGCCCGAGGGGTATAGTGGTTAAGTTTGTGTGTTCCGCTTCGGCGGCCCTGGGTTCGCCAGTTTGGATCCTGGGCGCAGACCTACTCACTGCTCATCAAGCCATACTGAGGTGGCGTCCCACATAGAAGAGCTACAACTCTACAACTATGATACACAACTATGTACTGGGGCTTTGGGGAGAAAAAAGAAAAAGAGGAAGACTGACAACAGATGTTAGCGCAGGGCCAATCTTCCTCAAAAAAAAAAAAAGACTGTAAAACTGTAATGATGTAAACAAATAGATGCAAAACAAAGATAGACAAATAGATGTAAAGAACGGAGTGGAGAGCTGAAACATGGAAAATTTGATATGCAGAGGTCTCATAACAAGGTAACGGGGAAATAGTCCAATAATGTGATGGACAACTGCTTTTTCTTATGGACATTGATCAAATTAGATGCTTACCCCATCCCACACACAAAAATGAATTCCAGAGGAACAAATACTTAAATGTGAAAAGCAAAACTTTAAAACTGTCAAAATAGAACATTAAGAACGTATACATGTCTTTAGGATAGGGAAGACTTTAAACAAGATACACAAAACACAATCACAAAGGAAGAGTATTAAGTCCGACTACAATGAAATTAAGGACTTCTCTACATCAAATCCACTTTACATAGGTCAAAAGACAAGCCACCAATTGGGAGATATATTTGCATCATAGACAACTACAGTTTTCTTTTTAAATTTTTTAAATTCAGTTTTATTGAGAAATAGTTGACATACATCACTGTATAAGTTTACACATGATGGTTTGATTTGCATATATTGTGAAATGATTACCACAATAGGCTTAGTTAAAATCTATCGTTTCATATAGGTAAAATAAAAAGAAAAAAAAAATTCTTGTGATAGGAACTCTTAGGATCTACTCTCTTAACAACTTTCCTATATATCATACAGCCGTGTTAACTATAGTCATTATGATGTACACATCCCTAGTACTTATTTATATTATAACTGGAGGTTTGTAACTTTTGACCATCTTCCTCTAATTCCTCCTCCCCCTCCCCACACCCCGGCTCTGGCAAGCACCAATCTGATCTCTTTTTGTATGAATTTGGTGGCTTTTTTTTTTAGATTCCACATATAAGTGAAATACAGTATTTGTCTTTATCTGGCTTATTTCCCTTAGCATAGTGCCCTCCAGTTCCAACCATGTTGTTGCAAATGACAGGATTTCCTCGTTTTTTTTTTGTTTTTTATGGCTGAATTATATTCCACTGTATCCATTCATCCATCAATGGACAGTTAGGTTGTTTTTTCCATGTCTTGGCAATTATAAATAGTGCTGCTATGAACATGGGAGTGCAGATATCTTTTCAAGTTAGTGTTTTTGTTTCCTTTGGATATATTCCCAGAAGTGGAATTGCTGGATCATATGGTAGTTATATTTTTAATTCTTTGAGGAACCTCCATACTGTTTTCCATAATGGCTGTACCAATTTAAAATCCCACCAACAGTGCATAAAGGTGCCCTTTTCTCCACATCCTTACCAGTATTTGTTATCTCTTGTCTTTTTGATGATGGCCATTCTAATAGGCTTGAAGTGATATCTCATTGTGGTTTTAATTTGCATTTCTATAATGACTACTGATGTTGAGCATCTTTTCATGTACCTGTTGGCCATTTATATATCTTCTTTGGAAAAATGTCTATTCAGGTCCTTTGCTCATTTTTTCATTGGATTATTTGTTTTTGTGCTATTGAGTTGTATGTGTTCTTTATATATTTTGGATATTAACCCCTTATCAGATGTGTAATTTGCAAATATTTTTTCCCATTCTGTAGGTTGTCTTTTCACTTTGTTTCTTTTTTTTTTTTTTGTGAGGAAGATCAGCCCTGAGCTAACATCCATGCTAATCCTCCTCTTTTTGCTGAGGAAGACCGGCTCTGAGCTAACATCTATTGCCAATCCTCCTCCTTTTTTTTTTTTCCCCGAAGCCCCAGTAGATAGTTGTATGTCATAGTTGCACATCCTTCTAGTTGCTGTATGTGGGA